GTCGATCATCGAAGAACTCCGCGAGGCTGGACTTATTATAAATTAAACTGCGTGTGAGTGATTCAACCAATTGACAACGAAATGCCGATAAACAAGTTTGGAATATTGCTCGGAAGAAGCGGAACGGATCCGTACTATCAATATAGCGGATTAATTAGAAACTACGTTCGCGATAACGCTCTTTGCGTTGTCGCGACAGATTTTAATGCAAAGTCACGCAAGATTCGACGCGTAGCGCTGCCTGTAGATGATGACGATGCTGTCACCAAACGGTACGTTCAACAGAACATGTAAATTTTGAAAGATCGACAGGATGAGATGGAGAGGAAGATAGTAACGCACCAAAATAGCATGCAGAATATGATAAACGTACTTCACGAAATGATTCAGCGTATGACTCATCGCCAATAAGTTAAATTTCTCCGTTACGCGAACGTGCGTTCCCGATCGACATACGATCGATCCCCGTTCCGTTCCCGTTCAACGTGTGTTACGCGAACGTGCGTTCCCGATCGACATACGATCGATCCCCGTTCCGTTCCCGTTCAACGTACGTTACACGAACGTGTGTTCCCGATCGACATACGATCGATCCCCGTTCAACGTGTGTTACGCGAACGTCCGTTCCCGATTGACATACGATCGATCCCCGTTCCGTTCCCGTTCAACGTACGTTACGCGAACGTGTGTTCCCGATCGACATACGGTCGATCCTCGTTCCGTTCGATATACGTTCGGTCCCTGTTCCGTTTGATATACGATCGGTCCCTGTTCCGTTCCCCGTTTAAAATCATTTGCTCATGGCTGAAAGGACAACATCTGAGAAGCGGCAATTAGTGAAGGAACTGCACGCTCCAGCGAGAAGAAATTTTCCGCGAAGACGTGTCATAGTGCGCGGGTACGACGACCTGTGGCAAGCTGATGTAGTTGAGATGCGTCCTTACACGCGTTTCAACAGAGGCTACCACTACATACTTACTGTTATCGATGTGCTGAGCAAGCATGCACGGGTCGTACCGCTCAAGGCCAAGAGCGGATGCGAAGTTACTGCGGCAATCGCAAAGATAATTCGGGTCGATGGAAGATGTCCGAAAAATTTACAAACTGACAATGGAAAGGAATTTTACAATGCGAACGTGCAGAAACTCTTGAAGAAACATAACATTAACCATTATTCTACCTATTCCGTGATGAAGGCATCGGTCGTCGAACGATTCAATCGCACGCTAAAGAACGATATGTGGAAGATGTTTACATTAAATGGAAACTATAGATGGATCGACGCGCTGTCACGTCTCGTATCAGATTACAACGCGCGAAAGCATCGGACTATAGGTATGCGGCCCATCGAAGTCACGCCCACGATCGTCGACAAACTGTTGACGACGGTGTACAGCCGCGTAAAGATTGCTGCACCCGCGCGATTCAGATTGGGTGACCCTGTACGCGTGAGTAAATTTAAGACCGTCTTTGAAAAAGGTTACAAACCAAATTGGTCGACGGAGGTGTTTAAAATCGGCAGAGTGCAGAAAACTAATCCCGTGACGTATATACTGGAAGATTCCTGTGGAAAACCCATCGCTGGAGGATACTATGAACACGAGTTGCATTGCGTAGGTAATCCCGATGTGTACCTCGTTGAGAAAGTGTTGCGGAAAAGAGGAAATGAGGTTTACGTGAAGTGGCTGGGACTTGATAAATCACATAATTCATGGATATGTACGGATAATGTTCTGTAAACATTGTTGCAACAAATCTTTAAGAATACGTGCAAGTTACTGAAAATCCACAAAATACAGACGACAGCGTATCACCCAGAGAGCAACGGAGCTCTCGAACGATCGCACAGAACTCTAGCCGAATACCTACGGCATTACATAAATACAGACCAGACAGATTGGGACGAATGGCTCCCATACGCCATGTTCACATATAACACTACTCCCCATACGGTAACAGGGCTCACACCTTTCGAACTAATGTACGGCCACCAAGCCGTACTGCCTACAGCACTGACAAAACCACCTCGACCATCGTATACGTACGACAATTACGCGGAAGAACTACGCGAAAGGATTCGCGCCGCGAATGAAGTAGCCAGAGAAAATACAAAAGCAGGCAAAGAAAAAGCAAAGGCGCAGTACGACAAGAAAACAAAGGAACAAACATTCAAAGCAGGAGATAAGGTGTTATTTAAGGACGAAACAGTGCGAAGAGGCCGATCCAAAAAACTGGAACCCCAATGGATCGGACCATACACAGTTATGGAGAAACACAACGAAGTAAATTACTCCGTGAAGATGGGACGTAGGACGATTCGCGTACACGCGAACAGACTGAAACCATTCATAGACAACTAAGATAGACAAACTAAACAAACACTCACCTACTCCCAACGTTCATACAATTCTTCATCCTCCTCAATAACCAAAGCCACCTCCTCCGACGAAGAGGACACCTCATCCCCTCCTACAGATCCAACACCAACATCCGACCCACCCGAAGGAGCAGGATCCAAAGATAAAGGCGGAACGGGGAAGATCTCCAAACTCCCCGAGGAGACGGAGATGACCTCCGACGCCTCAGACGACATGGAGAGATCGCTCACCACGAATACCTCGGACAAATCATCCGAGGGGCGATCATCTGATAGACTCGATTCGGAGTCGCTATCGAACACCACCGGATCGTCCGGTAACTCCGAGGACTCCACCTTAAGATCCTCGATCTCACAAGGCACACGAGAAAACATCTCAGCGAGCCGAGAGAATACTAACTTAAGCCAAAGCAATTAAAAGAAGCAGTACCCCGTGGCAAGCAGAACCATGTATCAAGTAACAAGAATAGATAAGATAGAAAGCGAAAACGACGAGGGATACAATTACGAGGAGAGAAGAAAACCATCCTCACTTACCAAGGACCTGCAAAGCCGCGGCACGCGAAATAGCCTCGTACCAGGAAAGAAACTCTTCAGAGGAAGAGAACGTCTCCGCCGCAAGGTCCACCACCTGGAGCCAGGTGAGAGAGCGGACACCCCCGACGAGAGACAACCCGAGGGGGTCCACGCACTCCTCGACCCGACGCGTCACCTGCTCCACCACACTAATTGTAAGGGCAGGAATAGGAACCGCAGACCCCGCCACGGACTCCTCGCCATCCGACATATCCTCATAGGATTCATCATCGTCGTCGTCGACGTCATCGTCGTCGTCGGCATCATCGTCGTCGTCGGCGTCGTCGTCGTTGTCACCGTCGTCCTCGTCCTCGTCCTCGTCCTCATCCTCGTCCTCGTCCTCGTCCTCCTCCTCCTCATCGACCTCCATGGCCTCCTCCTGGGGGTCAAGCCCGATATGGAAATCGCCAAAACTGGCGAAGACCTCCATAAAAGTAGTAGGCTCATCCGCGATCTCGTCGTCGCACTCCAGTACCACTGACTCGTATACGTCCCCAGTCGTACGAAAGGGATCGCCAAGATGCATCGCGAAAGAAAAATCACAAAAGCAGAAAAACTGAGAGACAAGAGAAAATTACGACGAGACGTAACGCTACTAACGCTCGACTGAAGAGAAGAACCAAACGACAAAACTACCTCCAACAAAAAAGCACCCAGTCAGCGAACTGAGATTAATGTAATGATAGCCGAAATATTATATTGCAGAGCGCTAACGATATGCGCCTACCTGACGACGGTCGCAATATCTAACGACGCGCCGCCGTACGAGATAACCACCTTCGCCCAGCAGCCTGGGATATATTTCGAAAAGGTCGGCAGAATGCATCCCGTCGAGGCTACGTGGAAACTAGTGATAAAAACCGATCTCACCCCGTTCACCACACGCCTAGGACAAATAAAGCGATGCGTCGAACGCACGGAAACAACGTGCGAAATACTGCTCGCACACAGCAGCACATGTAAAAATCTCCACGCCATAATCAGCAAAGGGGAAAAGAGACTACAACAATTGACCGACAGATTAAAGACAGTGTACAAAACACCGAACAAACGACGCGGACTAATAGACGGAATAGGCGTCATTGCAAAAACGCTATTCGGAACAATGGACGCAGATGACGACAAGCTAATCAACGAACAACTATCATTGTTACAAGAGTCAGACAGAGCGACAAAACACGCCCTACAGCACCAACTAAAAGTAATCAACGCAACTATAGGGCACATCAGCAACCTGGAACAAGTCATCGAAGAAAATGAAAACACCCTAAAAAACCTAATGGAAAAAGTCAAAAGTACACTGGTCACACACAGTCGACGACACGACCTAGACGAACACTACACCCTGATAAATGCAATCATCAATGATCTAACACGCGACGTAACGGACACCTTAGACTATATAACATGTATTAAGGAAGGAAAATTACATCCCAGGTTAATTCCGATCGAGACCATAATAACGAATCTAAAAAACGCAGCGATAAACCTACCGCAAGGACTATACTTCCCATTTAACCTGCGACAGGAAGAATGGTTAGACATAGAAAAAATTACGAAAATTACCGCATATTGCGACGGTCCAACTATATTTACTATCCTCCGATTCCCCCTCGCCACGACGCCGACATACGAATTAATACACGTCATACCACTACCGGTACACAGTCATGACAACATTTTCGCGTCAATAGAACTACGAATGGATCGGAATAGACACCGAAAAACACACCTATGTGACACTTGACAACTTACACGAATGTATTAAAATAAATTCGGAATACTTATGCGAACGAAATTATATTGTCAATAGGCTATCTACCAGCGCAATCTGCGAAACAGATATGTACATGTATAATAACGATAAGCACTGCAATAAAAAATACACCCTAGCGACCGAAATTATGTGGATTCCGACAAAAAATTCTTGGTTATATTCCACGTCTGGAAACGTATTACTGACAATACAATGCAAAAACTATCAGGAAGCAAAACATACCATCGTTAATACGGGAAAGGTAACGCTAGAAGAAAATTGCAAATTAATTACAGAAAGTAAAATCATCAACTCCAAAAGGGCAACACAAACAAAAACCATAGAAACATATTTGCCGAACACCCAAATTAAATTAATACAAAATGACGTAACGCACGAACACGATACAAATAAAATAACGTTAGAAAAACTCACAAACTCAACTGACCTAACGTACTTAAAAAGGAATATCGACAGGATAAAAGAAGAATTGGAAAATAGCCAAGAACCCTTCCATCACCATAAGCATTTTATATACCCTATGACAACGAGCGGAATTACCATTGTTCTTATAGGAATAATAATAGCATATATAATAATAAGGAAACTAAAAAACAAAAAAGGGAAAGTAACGAAGCATGTTGTCATAGCGGAAAACAGCCCAGCCTAAGGGTAAAAATACAAATACATTACATCCATGTATCCGATAGAAATTAAGAATAAGTGTAAAAATAAAGTTAGCCCCCTCACTTTCTTTCCATTAGGGGGGAAGGGTGTCATGAGTGCGATGCACCGCACATCAGACGACGACCTCGCACGCGGCAAGGTGTCAGATAACCCCTGCCGCATGCGACGAAAACGAATACCCGGAACAAAGTACGAAACCATCGAAGCCGCGCATACAGTTGCTAAGGGAAAAACCGCTTACTAACCAATAAACGGCCTAACAACAGGACCAAGCGCGGTTGATATAAAATGGAATGGAAAGGAAGGAAGGCGGGTCAATCTCGAGTAAACCACCAGAGTGTAGTTTCTGTATAGATTTTAATAAAAGGATTTTGGTAAAAATATTGGCTTATGGCCTTCCGGTTGTGAGTGTAATTCCGGCAACGACCCAATTACCGTGCTCCGATCCAGTCGGCAGCACAACACGCTCGTGAAATTAGTGCCTTGGTCTGTTAATACTTTTTCCGGTATTCCATGTTCAAGGATTATTTTCGTTACGAATGCTTTCGCTACCGTGTTTGCTTCGTGATTCTCGAGTGGTATTACCTTGCTGAATTTAGTTAGATTATCTTGAAAAGTCAAGGCGTATTTATTTCCCGTGGTTGTTATTGTAAGGGGCCCTACTATATCTAGGGCGCATTTCTCGAATGGCTTCGTAGGGGTGTCTGTAATAACTAACGGCATTTTAGTTTTCTGTCTTAGTTTGTTTTTCTGACAGAATTCGCATTTTGCAATATAACTCTCGACGTCTTTATTTAGACCGTGCCAGTGGTGTCGTAATCTGATGCGGTGTAGTGTTCGCGCGACTCCCTGGTGACCGCCTAACGGAGCGTCGTGATACTCATATAGTATCTGCTCCTTTTCTTCCGCAGAGTATTCCCTCTGTTCTCCTCTTCTTTCTTCTTCTTCTCCTGTTTCGATATGGTGAATCAGTTTTTTATTTTCCGCGGGATAGCGGCTCAATGCATCGGCGTTTACATTGCTCTTTCCTGCCTTGTGGACTATTTCGTAGTCGTATTCCTCCAGTTTGAGTCTCCATCGAATTAACCGTGAACCGGGGTCGGTTACGTTGAATAGCCATATCAGTGGCTTATGGTCTGTGATTATTTTAAACTTTGTGCCATACACGTAAGGTCGGAAATGTTTGACTGCCCATACAATGGCTAGTAGTTCCTTTTCGGTGGTGTTGTAGTTTTGCTCGGCTCGCGATAATACACGGCTGGCATATGCGATGGGTCGGTCTTGACCTACCGTGCCTTGAGACAGGATTGCTCCGATGGCGTAATCTGACGCGTCGGTCGTGACGATGAACTCGTCGCTGAAGTCCGGGTATTTTAATACAGGGGCTGTTGTCAGCGCGAATTTTAGGCTATCGAATGCGTTTTGCTGTGCGGTCGTCCGCTCGAACTTTTCTCCTTTCTTTGTTAGTTTAGTCAGAGGTTTGGCAATTTTGGAGAAGTCTTTTTTGAACTTTCTGTAGTATCCCGCTAGGCCTATAAAGGATTGAATATCCTTAACTTTGTTAGGTGCTGGGAAAGACTTTACTGCGTCTAATTTCGCTGGATCGGGCGAGATCCCGTCCTTAGTGATAATATGTCCTAAGTATATCACTTCCTTCCGGAGGAACTCACACACTGTCAGGTTGCAGTTTCAAGTTACTTTCGCGTAAGCGATTGAATACTTGCACGAGTCTTTTATTGTACTCGTGTAGACTCGGGCCGTAGATCACTATGTCGACCAGGTAGACTAAGCATTTTAATCCTTGTAACCCCATCAGAATATTATTCATTAAGCGTTGGAAAGTTGCGGGTGCATTCTTTAATCCGAATGGCATGCGGTTAAATTCGTAGTGTCCATACGGAGTGGAAAATGCGGTCTTGCATTTATCCTGTTCGGCCATGGGTATTTGATGATAGCCTGACGCTAGGTCTAGGGTGGAGAAATATTTCGCATTGCCTAGTTGGTCTAGTATGTCCGTGATATTCGGAAGAGGAAAGGAATCTCCTATCGTTAGGTCGTTTAATTTACGGAAATCTATTACAATTCGCAGTTTCGGTTTTCCGGATGCGTCAGCTTTCTTCGGTACTACCAAGAGGGGTGCGTTCCATTGGCTCGTACTCGGTTGGATAATTTCTTGTTGCATCATCTCTGTGATCTGGCGATTTACTTCGGCCTTATGCTTTTCTGGGAGTCGGTAAGGTCTCACGTTTATGCTTGGCGAGTTTACTTGTGTTATTATCTCGTGCTCTACGTGAGTTGTGTGCGTCAGCGTATCTCCCTCTAGGTGGAAGATATCTGCGTACTCTTCGCATATTTTTGTCAAGGTTTCTTTTTCTTCTTTATTTAGGTGTTTTAGGCGTAGTAACTTAGTTATGCGGTCTTCGCGCGGGAGGGAAATCTGGTCTTCCCTATGTTCCTCAGTTATAGCGGAATTTACGCATTCAATGTTTACGTCATCATATGGACTATCCACTATGTTGTCTACGATCACTAGAGGTAGTTGTATTTTTACCTCTTCCTCATTCGTGTTTATGATGCTTATTGGGCAGCTAAAATTTTTAGGTTCTACTAAATAATTTCCAATAAAAACGCCGGGCGCGGTCTCGTCTCGTCGCGTTACGCCGGTCGAATTTCGATCCGTCGTGACGTGCACTATCGTTTCGCTCCGTGGCTGTAATACGATGCACTTGTACGGATATAGCTTAAAGGTGGTCCTTTGGATATCTACTCTTCTCGCGTCGTAATCGCAAATGGCTCCACTTTTTCGGATGAAATCTATTCCTAGTATTCCGTCATAATTTATCGGTACGTCGTCTTTTACAACGTATACTGGGTGTTTAATTTCTCCGTCGGATAGTTTAATTCTCAGGTACGTCTTCCCGAGGGTAACAATGGAATGTCCGGTTATTCCGAGTAGTTTCACCTGTTCCTCGTAAATTTCGGCTTCGTCTTTTAATACCTTTAATTTAATTAGGG